AAAAATTTACTTAGAGACAAACAGGGAGAAAATCGTTACCAAAGCCGCCGAATATGCAACCTTGATGTGTGAAAAGCTCGATATAAGCGTTACTTCTAAACGTACAAAAAAGAGAAAGCAGATTCACGGAGACGGATCCGAGGGCGTTTCGCTCACCCCAGCACAAGAGCTTAGTCGAGAAATGTACGGAGCTGTTGATAGAATTATTGAAGAAATAACGACTCGATTTCAGCAGTTGGACGAAATTCGACAAAAGTACAGCTTTCTTTTTCCGGAATCGCTGCTGGACCCGCAGAAAGAAGACAATTTTGATTTTGAGCTTCCCGATGATGTGAACAGGGAAGACTTCAATGTAGAGCGTGACCGCCTTCGAAATTTTTGCAACGCTGCTAATCACAAAGTTGAAACGTTTTCAAGTGATCCTTTAAGTCTTTTGAAGTTTATCCAACGTTATCAACTTGAAATTTCCGTGCCGAACATTGTTATCATGCTGAAAATTTTCCTGTCTTTTGCTGTTAGTGTTGCATCGTGTGAAAGGAGTTTTTCTAAGCTGAAGCTTATTAAAAATTACCTTCGTTCGCAAATGTCTTCTTTGCGCTTGCGAAATTTAGCGATTTTGTCAATTGAAAGAAAGTTGACAAATGAAATTGACTTTGACGACCTTATTAAGGAATTCGCAGCAAGAAAAGCCAGAAGAATTAATATTTAGTTTTAAACGTTAACGTTTGTAATTATGATGACTTGTACTGGTACGTAATACTCTAAAGTTTGTTTCTTGAAATAAATAAATATTTATTTCTGACATATTATTTCCGTGCACTATTAATAATTAAATTGTAATGTTACGTAATATAACCTTAAGACAAAATTCCAAGAAATCCTTGAGACGAGGGGCGGCAAAATCTTACTTCCGCACCGGGTCAAAATCACTGACGCTACGCCGCTGAAGGCAAGCCATGAAAAGTAACTTCTCCTCCAAATAAAATATGCTATTTTTTCTTCAAACTTCCGCAAATTTATCCAAAACACCAGGTTTTTAAGGGATATTAATCGCTTTCGTTAAATTAAACGTCATTGTCAAGTAGGTAAGTTTGTTTTCCTTTACATGAATAGATAGGTGCTGTTTCCTTGGTTACGCAGTAAATAATCTTAGTAAATTAGTTAGTTTTAGAATGCAATGCACGCCGCCCGAAATTACCGTTGAGGCTAATGAAGCAGTATCGTGCCTCGGACCTTCGAAATCCGGTGAAAAGTATTTAGCTGCATATCAACACTTCATTCAATGGTGTAATGGAAAGAATATGATCATCTATTCAGAAAACTTCTTGCGTATTTTAATCAGATGCAAAAAGATAAAAAATGGAAATCTTCGACAATGTGGTCTCGTTATTCCATGATCAAATCCGAATTAATTATCAAGCATGGAATAAATATAAGTCAATATTTAAAGCTACGATGTTTTTTGAAAAAGGCCAATGAAGGGTATTCTGCAAAAAAGTCCAGAATATTTACTAAAGAGCAGTTTGAAGGTTTTCTAATGGACGCACCAGATGATGTATATTTAGGAATAAAGGTAAATTTAAATCAGTTTTAATTCTCCCAATGTAATATTATTATGATTCAGATTGTTTTATTAATCGGAGTAACCGGGGCATGCAGATGCGACGAAATGATGAAAATGAATATAGGCGACATTGAAGATATGGAAAATTTAATCCTAATAAAAATTCCCGGTAGCAAAACGAAAAAAGTGCGCTCGTTTACCATCATCGGAGAAATGTTCATGAATATTTACCACAAGTACGCTTCATTAAGACCGAGAGATATGCAAGAGAGAAGGTTTTTTTTGAAATATCAGAATGGGAAGTGCTATAAAAATGTTATGGGGATTCATACGATTAGTGCTGTACCCAGAAAAGTCGCCGAATTTCTAAAATTAGGCAATGTCCAAGAATATACGGGTCACTGTTTAAGGCGTACTTCGGCTACATTACTCATCGATGGTGGAGGAAGTATGGAGTCGTTGAAGTGCCACGGGGGTTGGAGGTCGACTTCCGTAGCAGAAGGGTACATAGAAGAGTCGATTCGCAACAAAAAAGAGAATGCTAGCCGAATATTAAATTTAAACGAAACTGCGGTAACTGAAACAGGCGCATCAGGAAATCTAATAACATCGTCTTCGCCGAGGTCATCGCCTAAATCGAGAGTAAATACTTTAACAGGGTCTAGTTCATCGTTGCACGGCTTCAATTTTCAGAATGCAACACTTACCAATTGTACATTTAATATTACATTAATGAATAAGTCTGAAAATATATCATAATTTTTTGAATAAATAAATGAAATTGTTGTGTTTCCATAACAACACTTTTCCCTCCGGCGACAGGAAAAGGAAAAGTAAAAACTGCTCTAACGATAATGTCAAACTTTGGCGCCTACTACTCAGTCGAACAATGGCCTAATATTTTGACGTTTGAAGAAAAAATGAATTTACTTGTACACCGCCAGATATTCGCAAAGCCGCTCAAGAGGCTACTGAAAATCTGCTGGCAGCAAAATCCAAGCCGGCATATGACAAAGCGTACCAGGCCTTCACAAAGTGGTGTCGGGCAAAAGGTGGGTTAAATGTAACTGAAAATGTCCTTCTTGCTTATTTTCAAGAAATGAGTAACACCAAGAAGTCTTCAACGCTTTGGACAGCATATAGCATGCTTGAATGTTTATCGGAATTGTGACAACATTCCCCTATAATCACAATAATTTCAGTCGCTTTTACATTATGGACGTTGTAATATCTCTTTCAACCGAAATCGTTTTATTGGCAAAACGGTGATTTTTATAAGCAAACGTGACATTTTCACTTATAATTGCACAATAGGTTTGTATTTTACCGACAATTCAACTCATGTATAAAAAATCGCATAAGCCGCAGTGAAATTGTCACTTTGACAGCGGCAAAAGTTACCTGCAACTTTTCCAGCGACAAATGCACTATATAGTGGTTTTTTCACTTATTCATTTTCGAACCAATTATCGCATTATCCTTTCCCATATGACTAGTTTGACGTCTGTCAATAATTGATTAATTTGGTGAATTTCTTGTTCGTTAAATTGTCCTGCCGAATTACACTCGAGGTTTGTGTTTAAACCGAGTAAATTTGGGTTGTGGCAATTCAAATCTGTTTCCTTTTAGCAATTGGACTCGAAAAACTGTCAACCTAAAAATGCTCCACCTGCGGTGTCGCATTTTTATTATTTGACAGTTTTTCTCGTCTAATTGCTAGGCAACAGATTTTCATTACCTAAACAACCCAAATTTACTCGGTAAAATACAAACCTCTTGTGCAATTATAAGTGACAATTCAACTCATGTATAAAAAATCACATAAGCCGCAGTGTAATTGTCACTTTGACAGTGGCAAAAGTTACCTGCAACTTTTCCAGCGACAAATGCACTAGTGGTTTTTTCACTTATTCATTTTCGAACCAATTATCGCATTATCCTTTCCCATATGACAAGTTTGACGTCTGTCAGTAATTGATTAGTTATGTGAATTTCTTGTTCGTTAAATTGTCCTGCCGAATTACACTCGAGGTTTGTATTTAAACCGAGTAAATTTGTGTTGTTGCAATTCAAATCTGTTGCCTTTTAGCAATTGAACTCGAAAAACTGTCACCCTAAAAATGCTCCACCTGCGGTGTCGCATTTTTATTAGTTGACAGTTTTTCTCGTCTAATTGCTAGGCAACAGATTTTCATTACCTAAACAACCCAAATTTACTCGGTAAAATACAAACCTCTTGTGCAATTATAAGTGAGTAAATTTGGGTTGTTTAGGTAATGAAAATCTGTTGCCTAGCAATTAGACGAGAAAAACCGCCAACTAATAAAAATGCGACACCGCAGGTGGACCATTTTTAGGTTGACAGTTTTTCGAGTTCAATTGCTAAAAGGAAACAGATTTGAATTGCCACAACCCAAATTTACTCGGTTTAAATACAAACCTCGAGTGTAATTCGGCAGGACAATTTAACGAACAAGAAATTCACCAAACTAATCAATTATTGACAGACGTCAAACTAGTCATATGGGTAAGGATAATGCGATAATTGGTTCGAAAATGAATAAGTGAAAAAACCACTAAGTGCATTTGTCGCTGGAAAAGTTGCAGGTAACTTTTGCCGCTGTCAAAGTGACAATTTCACTGCGGCTTATGCGATTTTTTATACATGAGTTGAATTGTCATGGCAATCGTGAAATTACACACAGCATGGACATGGATTCGAGTGCAACGTCAATATGATTTCATTGTATATATTTGCCTTATTTTTAAATTATATTGCAGGTATAATAAAAAATACTATAAGAAACGCGTGCATAATTGATCTTTAAAGCACGTTTAAAGGCACTCCGCTTCGCGTTGTGCCATTAAACTCGTTGCGCGTGCTTTAAAGACTTGATTATACACTTGTCTCTTGGTATACTATTTTAATAACGTACTACTATATTCCATGCTAAAAAAAATCATTGAACGCCATACACAAATAAGTTCCTTCACTTTGCTGCTGCAAATTCTAAAAGTATATTATGCATTACTTGATCACGTTGAAGTATGTTACACATTCAAGCTGTACTCGGAAAAACAAAGTCGGGGAATATTTCACCGCAACTTTACTTGTCAAAATTAAAGTGGAAGCTCAAAACAATTTAATAGAACTCCGCTTGTCGTTTTTAAGAAGCAAGATCATTTGCTAACACAGTGGTGACAAACAATAGCAGACGCAGTGAATTATGTATGAGTTTCTCGTATCCTTTACTTAATGTAATATAAAGGATTGATAAATGGATTTAGTGATTATTGTCGTTTCATTTTTTTACAGGCAACTCTAGAATAGGCCTCCTATATAACTTCCTCGAGCGATAACAAGATTTGGGAGCTCGCAACTTTCAGAACTGTAATCCCCATGAAAAGTTTAAGTATCAATTTAGGAAAATCTTACCTGTAGTACGAGGGTTTGGTTGCTAACTATAACTCCTGCTGTACTGTTGCTGAGCAATCTATTCCCATCTTGTAACCACCACACTCGCAATACCTAGAACAAGGTACATAAATGAAATTTACGACTCTAACCAACGGAAGAATCTAAACTGATAGCGTTAAAATGAAACAAGGTTTGAAATTAAATGGAGTAAATCAATACTTGAAACGTGTCGTAAACGTAGCGTATCAAATTACCGCCAATGATGTATAGATTAGCTTATAACTAGTTAATATTGATAAAATACAGTGTCGTTAATGAAATTAAACTAGTATATTTTATTGAATGGTTCTAAGCTAAAAATGTAGAAACGTTGACAATTGCTTTCGATTTATTTTTTTATTGATAACATTTATTTACACAAATATCTTTTTCTAAACATTGTTGGTTATTTTACAAGATGTTTTGTAGAAAAATAACTTTGGGAAAGTTACAACATTATTTCTTTTTAGGGGAATAAATTCTACTTATGTGATGGTTTTGTCCGTCCGTCTGTTCCTCGTCTAACTCGAGAAGGAAAAGAGACAGCGATGTCAAACCTCTTCACCAATCGATTTCCACGAGTATCAGTGCTATTGAATATGAGCCGGATTAAAAGTTGTGTTCCTGAATGCGAGCCGAGTGTAAAAAATTTCCCTACTTGATTCTTCCACTTTGTAATCAAGATTTGTTAAACAAATTTGCCTTTATACAAGTTAGAGCGCATTAGGAGCTTCGCTCGTGTAACGTTTACTTCACGCAAAATTAGTTTTCTAACGATACGCAATGCCAAATGACCAATGCAAATAATAGATTTAAATTCGCGCCACAAACTCGATTTCTCCTTCATTTACATGTCTAGAGCCAAAAATGTCATGGGTACTTTGATAATTACACTCGAGTAGTAAAGGCCGTTATATGTAAAGTTTAAATTATACCATTACATCAACACGAACACAAGTACTAAAATTTTGCGCGAAACTTGGTTTTATTGAAAATATAATGTGCGTGAATAACTTTATGTTAATCTGGCGGGTACTTTCAAACTTTTTAATCTGGAGATATAATCGACTGTTTTAAACTTTTATTATTTTCACGTTGCAAAGAATTTGCCAGCTAACATTGTGTATAAATCTCTTAATCCAAATGTCAACTTCTTAACAAAAGTGTGTAAATTTCAAGATTACCTTCGTGATACCTATTTATTTATACTACAGCAATTGCTTAATAGTTCCCAGACTAATGAGTAACAATTCGTAATCACTATGTTTCTGCGTTATGTCATGTCATGTATAGAATCACTAGGGTGAGGGCATTAAATGGAGGGAATCTGCGACTTCACACTAGTTCAAAATGTCGCCTTCTGATGAAGACGAAGTGGTTACATGGTGGAAGTATTTAATACAGTTACATAATGGATATTTCCATCTCTTCCAATTCCCCATTCTGTACACTTAAAAGAAAACTATGTGTCAACATTTTACTTGAAGCTTTAAAATTGTAATGATTCATTTTCACCATTACGAAGTTTACGGTTTATTACTTGTCGAAAACCCCCCGTAACATATTAAAGCGATTTGATAGATGGCTCCACCTATTGATGAATTTCTCCGCGCAGAACTCGCAGCGCCTTGATTTTTTGAGTGTCTATTGTGATGTGTTTTTCTTCGTAAACCGCATCGAAGTCAATGCCGATTTAAAAAAAAACAGCTGAAAATGAAAGGTAGAACGCATGGAATTCTATTTGCCATCTTCCGAATATATTGATCTCTGGCGGTTGAATTATTAATTATGGGAATTCCGAAGTGATTCGTTTGGATGCGATTCGCCTGTACTCCCAGTGAGGTTTTAATAATATGCGTTTTACTCTTAACATGTAAGTACCACCTTGTTTCGCATTTTATTTAGCGTCCGCTAAACCTGCACTAATTTTGTGTTGGTTTAGTTCTAGTTTAAAATCCCTCTCAACAAATCTTTTCGGGTAAACACCCCTGTAAATAAGCGTTTAATGTGGGGACCCTTATCGCCGCAAACTTATTGGGCGCAGGATATTTCAGTACGAGTGAAACTTAACCGAGTAAGTATTACTGTTTCAGAGGTAGGTTTTTGAACGACGTTATCGCCCACAAGCAATAACAAGTCCTTGTTTACAAAAATGCCGCCTTGTTCAGACTCTGCAGCTGATGTCAGAATATATGTTGGCGGCACCGGATCGTCGTAGTCCCGACTCCCCGTAACATGGTCGCTCTGGATTACTGCCCGGTGTGGGGGTTTCAACGTAACTTTAACTGTCCTGTGATCATGTATGTGGATTGTTAGGTTTATTTGATATTATTAAATTATTTTCTGCTATGAATTCTTCCATTTTTTTCCCTTTTTTATCTGTAATATTGTTAAACCACATAATCGATTTTGAATTTGAATCCATACTTATTATTAATCTAGTGTTTCCCTAAAATTGTTAATATTTTTTCAATTTCTTCAATATATTTTTCAATTTTTTCTGAGAATTGTACATAAGAATTTATAATTGTTATCCAGCCTAAACCATAAACATAAACATACATAGGAAACGGATTAATTAATATTGATTTAACTTTAATTAGTAATAATTTAATGGATTAAATATTTAATTGGAAAGTAAATGAAAATCTAACAGTTAGTGATCATAATGCTATTACAATTGATATAAATTTCGGCAAACAAGACAAAATTATTGTAGAAAATAATAAAAATAGATATTCAACAAAAAAAGCAAATTGGGAATTATTTGAAAGATTATCAAATGAAAGTAATTATTTTAATGAAAAAATAAAAATAAAAAATATAAACGAATCGAAGAAAATATTCTTAAATTAACAATTAATATTCAAAACATATGTAAAGAATCAAACCCTAAAATCAAATACAGTAAAAAAAGATATAATTTTTGGTGGAATGAAAACTTAACAAACAACGAAGTGATGAGAATTAGGAAATTGTATCAGACTAATAAAAATTTGGATAAAAAATTAGAATTAAAATTAAAATATAAAAACGAACTCAAAATTTATACATCATTAATTAGAAAAGCTAAAAATTTAAAAGGCTTTGTAACGAAACATGGAAATGAAGAACCTTGGGGTGCAATTTATAAATTAAATAAAAATAAAAAAGAAAATATACCTTCCACAATTAGATATGACTACATGGATAGAAACAGCAGAAAAATTAGTAACAAATTTAATAACAGATCATGATTTAATTGAAACAACCGAATTACAAAAAGATGAAAGAAAATTTTTGGAAACTGAAATTCAAAATTGTGATAATTTCGAAAAATTTACTCAGTGAAATTTTTAATGCAGTTTACAAACAAAAAGAAAAAAAGCTCCTGGTCTTGACTTAATAAAAACGAAATTATAAAAAAAGTATATCCTTTTATAAGAAAAAAATTAAAACTTTTAAATAATTCCTGTTTGTGATTTGGATATTTTCCAAAGTGTTGGAAGAAAAGTGATTTAATAATTATTAAAAAACCAGGTGGAGGAAAAGATCCTTTAAACATAAAAAGTTATAGACCAATAATGCTGCTGTGCTGTTTAGGAAAAATATTAGAAAAATTATTAAATGATAGATTAAATTATTATTTGGAAAATAACAAAATTTTATCAAATAAACAGTTTGGATTTAGGGAAGGAAGATCGACGGAAGATGCAATTTTTAGAATTATTTAAAAACGTTGATAATTCACAAAAAAGTATGTTTTAGGAATTTCAATAGATATAGTTGGTGCGTTCGACAATGTATGGTCGCCGGCTATTTTATATGAATTGGGGAAAATTAAAGGTGATATATCAATACAAAAAATTATTAAGAGTTATTTCACAGATAGAATTACAATATAAAGCAACAAATACCAAAAAATAACAAAAGAAATTAGCAAAGGTTGTCCACAAGGATCGGTGCTGGGACCTACTTTTTGGAACATAATTTTTAATAATAGTTTTCAAAATAACGTAATGGAAATCGCATATGCAGATGACAAAATTTTTATAATAGAAGAAAATTCAAGAAAAAAATTAGAAACTACTGGAAATGAGAAAATAAAAAATTTTGAAAATTGGTGTACTGAAAATAAATTAACAATTTCGAGTAAAACAAACCAATTATTTCAAAAATACATTTGAACTAAATAAGAAGACGTTATTAACTATTTATAAGGGAGCATTAGAGCCAGCATTGTTATATGGAGATATAATATGGAGAAATAGGATAAAAAAATTACAAGAAAGAAAAATCACAAGTATTCAATCTTATATTCTAAGAAGAATTTTTAATATATACGATAAAACCGCAACAAATTCAATAACAAGTATATCTGGAATAATGCCTATTACATTGAAGATAAAATTAAAAATTCAAAATTATAATTTGAGAAAGGATCAAAACATTACTTTAGGAGAAAACATAATAAATTATAACACTTATATAATAAATAAAACAAAAATTAACTTTGGACATCCGGCAACAGCATATAAAAATTTAAAAACTTTTGAAGAAGAAGGAAAATTAACAAGAGTCGATATTAAAAAACAAATTGAACAATATTATTTAAATAAATGCTAAGAACAATGGAATCAATCAGATAAAGGGAGGGAAACATCAATATATACCAAATATAATAAAGAGATTGAAATGGAAATTTTGGAACATAAATAGGGTATTATTAGTATTATATAGTATTATACAAATTATAACTAATAGAGGATTATTTAATTCTTATTCTTACAAAATTAAAACAAGTGAAACCAACATGTGTACGTGCGAAAATGGAATAGAAAGTGCTGAACATTTATTATACGAATGTGAAGAATTCAAAATTGAGAGAGAAGATTGTAAAAACTTATTGGAACCGAAAGGAATTATTATTTGGCCTGTTAACAAAAATCAATGTTTACAAGAAAAAAATATTAGAAGCATTTTTGGAAATTTTTGCAGCAAAATTCAAACAAGAAAACGCAAAATTTTAAATAAAACAATTAAATAAATGTACAGGGACCTCCGAGTGGTTAGGGACGAGCAACGAAGTCTAGGTAACCCTTTTTAGGGCAATAAAAATCCTAGATACGGCCAACTCCTGTGAAATAAAAATAAGTTATATAATAAATAAGAAAAGACTTAAGATAATAGGGGATTTTCTGGATAGGATGAGTACCTGTAAAATTAACAAAAAAAAAAACTGTCCTGTAGACTTCCACCCTAAAAATATTGTCTGGAATAGAGAAAAAGGAAAAAAAGTTGTTAGAAAACCACGTGTATGTACTAAACAAACGTACGTCGGAAATGGGTTCACAAACATTGACGTCACCTGTGCAAACAAAAATCGGATAATGTAAAAAACTGGAAAGAAAAAAAATCGCACAAGTAGTGATCATAATGCAATCTTTTTTGAAACAACAACAACCAATAACAAAAACATCATTATGGAAAACACCATCAAATATTCAATAAAAAGAGCATAAAATTCGAATCTTTCGCAGAAGAAAATACATTTCTCAAAAATAATAAAGAACTTTTCACCGAAAACATAGACAATGAAATCAAAAATTTAACTGAAAACATACAAACCATCACTAACGCAACCATACCCAAATTAAAAATAGACAAATTCGTTATTTAATATTTGGAAAATTTATGAAATCTAGTGTGCTGCCAGGATGCACGATGTCTGTTGCATTACACAGGGAGATCGTATCGTGCTTTTTTGTATGATATGGTACACGGCATGCTAGATTTCATATATTGAATCACGAATTTTTCCATTTTTCTGTATATCAACCATATGCATATTTTACGTTGTCATACAGAAAATTGATTGCTGTTTTTAAATATCGTACGAGTAGCGCAAGCAGAAAGGATATGAGATCATGCTTCAGCCGTAAATGTGTGACAATATAGCATAGAGTCAAGCTACTACAAGTGGAGCTTGAGGGAGAGGGACCGAAATACAATTAAATTTCGCCTAATAAAACTTATTATCGCAACAACCAGATGTGCCTTACTTCTACCACCTTATCTAAACTGAACAACACACAAAAGCGACAAAATAAAAATGAAAATTACGCATATGCACAATTTCTAAAAGGAAAAATAAACACCGCAACTGAAGGAAACAACTACACTTTGTATTTATTCGTAAAAAGAACACACCAGATTTAAATTATTACACAGAAAGTGTGAACCCACATTATTGATGGTGCTGAAGCCAAAATAACGTTTACAGGACGTACACAACAGTACGTATGCTTCATGGTCCTTTGGAAAAGTTTGAAAACAATATGGAGGACGTACTCAGAATGACAAGGAGGACGTTTTCATCAAGATATTATGAAGTTTAAACAACGTTATCAACTACATTTGGGGTTTAGTGAGAGAAATCACTTATGAACGTGGAAAAATAGCAACGAGTTCATTTTTAAACTTTTTTTTACTATTTTGTAATTTGATATGATTAAAAAGTTCATAAAAACACATACAATTACATTTGTTTCAATTTATCAATTATGGTTTTAAATAATGCTGGTCAACTCCTTGTTATATACTCAGATTTTGCAATAGAAAATAATGGTAATTTTCTTGCAACATTGTAAGCGAAATAGCATGTCAATAATGTACGGTTTTAATTTAATGCAAGAAAAAATTTTTTTCCCACCATCTCTCCTACAATAATTAAGTTACAATTTATTATGCATGTTTATAATGGAGATTAAATTTGATTTGATCTCCGTTTCATTATTTTTGTTATTAAAAAATTAAGCTTTTAAAGCTCCAGGTCGAACTAATATATCAAAATGGATTTCAATGCTTTACATAATGGTATCCTAATGAGTTTTTACGATTACTGCGAGTAAACGAAACGAGGCCAATATTAAATTCAAGCTTCTAATTAAAAGTTACCGTTACTACAGTCGTGCAAAACTTTTACTCTTGTCTATATGAACAAGCGGCACGTTACGGGATTGATTTATGCGAAGCTGTAGGCTTGGAAAGCATTTTTAACGCTAATATGTGTGTCGCTCGTGAAACAAAGGTAATGTAATCAACAAATTCGCAACACACGAACGACTGAAGTGTTTATCCACTATTTAATATTCACCCTTGCTATAAATTTAATCGAAATGAACAGGCTCGAGGGTTTATGCATGTTCTGAATAATGTACACAAGAGTGTTAAGATAATAAGGCTATCTGTACTGAAAAAGTGTCTGTAACGTATGTTCTTCGCCTTGACAAAACGATCACTCGGCATCTTTGTAGGTATTCATTAACTTATCCTTTTCATACTCCCGATACATCGTTCTGTTGCAACAGTTAAACAATTGTAGAATTGTAGTAGTATTTGAAGGTGAGCAAGGCGCTTAGGTCTTTTAGCTCACATTTTCAAAATACAATTTAATCCTATTACCACGTTCCGTTCCAGTCCAAAATTGTTTAAGATATAGACATATTTTTGTCATATAAATTTCATTTCATTTTGCGGTAATGAAAATGAAATGAAATGTTGATAAAAGGTACCTTATGTGTAGTAAGCGTTTCTCTACGACCGCCTCCATTCATGGAGACTTATTATTGGGGAAAGAAGTGAAGTGAATAATTTATAACAACCACATCCGTCGAGACAATATCCAAGTGAATTTCGCTTTTAAACATTAGACTAATCCAAGGAAATGCCTTGTGAAAGCCTCGTCGTTATTGATAATCGTCCGCTTTTAAAACTGTTGAGCTTAAATAAACAAACTTGGTTTAGAAATGATAATAATAAATCAAAATGAGAATACGTTAGATGCATTAACATCGTGTACAACCGAGAGCATGCTACTGAATGGTTCTACCACAGAATATATTGCACTACAAGTGCTGCCATAAAAAGAACACTCTTCTAAACTTTGAAATTCGCCGGGCTTCGTTGCACGAATGGACCTAGTTTTGAAATTGGCGCGACTGTGCTTTCCATGGACGCAACCTTACAGAATTCTTCTTCAACTTTAATATCAATTCCTTACTTCTTTAAAACCTTCTTCACGTGCCGTTTGTTTTCATCGCTCATGCCACAACTGGAGTGTTTCAGCTTCCGTTGCCGCGGAAACTTCCACTGAAATTTCCGGCACTACCACCCGCATCTTCAGGGCATCTAGTCCTTTTGTAGCCTTTTTCCTGGTCAAACGCACCGACCCGTTTTTTGAAAACGCACAACCGATTCGATCTGCTTTGAAATCTCTCCCGATTTCTGGCATATACCACAATTCAGTGATTTCTTTGCCACTACCCTGCTATTTTCATTTTGACATTTACTGTTCCTTATCCATATGCTGAAATCACTTCATTATTGCCTATTTGCACTTACTCAACAAAATATTCTTTGCGCTTTGTCATGTGCGCCGACGCACCGGAGTCAGCTAACCAAACATCGTCAAGAACACCTTCTACTGTGCACACGAAATCATCCTCTTCAGGCTTTGTCTTTTGCGAATTTACAGGGACTTTCTTATCACAATCCTTCGCAATATGTCCAGGTAAATGACACCTGAAACACTTACGCTCCCGAACAGGCTTAGACACATTTGTTCGATTTTTATTGCTTTTCAGCGAACCAATGCTGCCGAGCCATCGTTTTGTTGGTAAGCACATCTCTATCAACTGCAAACGCTCTATCAATTTGTTGATAGTTCGGTCATTCACAGGCCCTGATTCCCAGACGCGTTTGAATTCGAAATAGTCCGATGGCAGCGTTGACATTACACGGCTCATCAGTAACAGTTCTTACTAATCTTTTCAGCTCATCGTTGAGCACCTGAAAGTTCTTCTGTAGTCGTGAAACGTAAGATGCAATATCCTCTGATGGATTTACCTCTCCCTTGAAAAACAACTCCATCAGTCTGTCTACCCGCTGACCCGAGCTGTGTTCATATATGGATAACAATTTATCCCATGTCGCCTTTCCCGTTTCACAGGTAGCCTTCAGATCAACGTTCGCATTATTATGCTGGTGTCGAGAATTCTTTGATGGTGTTTTCAAACCCCGTTTTTACCGCCTTCGTAGCTCCCTCTGCTGGTGCATTACAGGCGTGGTGGGCCCATAACCTGTTGATCTTAACAACGCCGGAGTTTAAATAAACAAACTTGGTTTAGAAAAGATTTAATAAAACAAAACGAGAATATGTTACATACGTTAGGAATTGAATTTATATATGTTATATATGTTCTCTGCGAAACGCCATATATATATATATATATATATATATATATAAGTATATATATATATATATATATATTCCGCCCGAGAAAACGCTGTTTGGTGTGGTATCAAAATACTGCATTAAAACGCCGAATATGTTACCCAAATTTGCGATCAATAGCAAGAGTAAGAAGAGGTAGTTTGAGTAACGGACCACGTATACGGATATCACGATTCCCGCTAATATAGTTACTAGTTAGATACAAATTATTAATTAATAACATTACCGAGAAGGCAGATCTTTGGTTTCTATACGAATTAAATATTAAAATATAACAAACCTGCCCTTTACTACTCAAATTAAATTCAACGTTACAAGTTATAAACGCTTGACGCCCATTAAAAATAATTATCGTTCTTGAAATTTTACTGAAGTGTCTAAATTGGTTCCATTAAGATATTCAATTCCCGTAGGAGCATCATTAATAGCTTTAGTTCGGGAATGTCAAGCGTGCCTTTGGGACGTAAAGGCATTGGCAAAGTACAAAGCAAGAGCAAATCTTTGAGTAATAGAATCGAATAGGCTTGACGTAGAAGTACACTTCGAGCTGGACCAAAGCGAACCCCTTGATGGACTAAACATTGACATTGTTACAAGAATTTATTTCGATAGCAAAGAGAATAGTTATATAAATTTGTAGAATTGCTAAAAGGAATCTTTAGGTTACAACGCATTTGGCAGCAAACAATTAGAGTTAATGTTGACATGAGACGCCCATTAGTGTTCCGTTACGCGCCAGTAGGTTTAATCTTTTAAATTACACTAATTCAATTTCATTAATATTGATTACGAGTTGAATGTATTAATTAGAAACGTAACAATGTTATGTGCAGCTAACAACACGAAACCATGCCATTAGGGTTCAACTAATGTAACTAAACGTTTCATTTGAACGTTTAAGATAAGTCAAGACAACTATACCGGTTATTTGGGAGAGCAATTTAGACTAATATCCTGAATTTTTGTATTGTAGATGATTGTGTATCTAGTTACAAGCACAGAGATGTAATTGAATCGCATTAGAAAAAGTTAGTCGCTGCAAGCAAGTGAGCTTAGCTGATCGGATGATTACGTTTCATTACATTGAAGGCGCTCTACGCTATATCGTTTACAACTGTATTCTAAATTTGAACACGAATAGGCATGTTGTAATGCTCTTTCCTTCAAGAGTTTCAATAAATTTAATTAATGGGTTCTGTTTTGCTTTACAGCTGTACAGTGCTTTTGTTCCTTTTGTTAGTAACTTCATTTACTCCAATTTATATCCTTGTTTGCTTTTGTCTATTACGTAATCACTTTCTTGTCAAGTATGCTATATTCTCCAATATCAAGCATCAGGATTCGAGTATATCATTTTTAAATTACTGTTAACTTTTCAGACCAAAAACGGCGATTGTTAAAATTGTTTAGATATTACTTCTACAGCCTTCTACACTAAACAACATAGTCAAGTTTCCATGGAGATTCCTTTAAGACACTCAAAATTTCGATAAGTTTACGAGAATCTCACGACGGATATTGATTGAGACTCGCGTAGCCTTGCAAAAGAAGGCTCAGCGGTACTGGTGGTCACTAGTAGAGTAGCTAAGAAAGTAAACATCGATGACTATAATCTAAAGATTAAACGAACTTACCTGAGTGAAGTTTAATCTTGATTATGTGAGGCCTCGTCTCAATAAATACCCTGTATAATGCAGCTTCTCATATTCGTGAGAAGGTCGAACACGTTTCAAAGCAGGCGGAAAAGAGGGGATACCTCAACTAAGCCATGAGTATCATTACCAACTTCAGTCTACTTTAAAGTTATTTTTCTGACCGGGCTGGGTCAAGATTTATTTAGGGTGGGAGGTATTTATTTTCGACGAGGTCTCACATAATCAAGATTAAACTTCATTCAGGTAAGTTCGTTTAATCTTTAGATTATATTTCGGCCTCGTCTCAATAAATACCCTGTATAATGCAGCTGTTTAAAGCAGGATACTCAGAAAAATAATCCAATTTGTTTTCGTTTTTATAATATATAATAAACAAAAAGGTTATTAGAAAGTACAAATATTAAGTGTAACTTATAAACGATAATAATACCAAATCGTAATTATTTAAAAAACATTTCTTATATACACACTACAATAATACATATTGCCTTGGTGTAATCTAATTTCTAAAGACAGACGATCATCAAAAATGTAAAAAACGGCCTTACACAAGACATACTAAACCTAACTAAAATATCCTGTACATAATACAGGTCCTAAACTAACCGGACAGAACTGCCTCCGCAAAACTTCTACATTCAGAGACCAGTCGGTTGTAAAAAATGGCAAAAGTTTTAGAAGTGCACCCTGCAGCTTTTCTAATAGTGTCCAGGTTAACACCCTTTCGCGCTGCTGAAGATGTGGACGCGTGCCTAGTGCTATGTGAAGGATACCTACTGGTGTCGATACCACTTAGAGTAAGGACAGATTTTACCCATCTACTAATGGTTTGAGTAGAAACAGCTCTATACGGTCTTGTATTAGTGATAAACAACCTATCAATTGTGCCCCTCAGCTCTTTGGTTCTGTTTAAATAAACGAATAAGGCTGTGGGGACACAAGTTATCATTCTCATAAAATGGCAAAGTTAATGTGGGCTGAATTCTGTTTTGACCTGAGGTCTTAAGACGATGGCCTATCCTAATTTCTACATGCTCCTGTAACTTACAAATATCCGCTATTTCAATACTTGCAATAGTTTGAGCACGTTGACCCGTTACAAGGATCAGAATCGTGGCAACTTTTTTGGCTAAACATTCTAATGAAATTGTATTATTCTTAAAGTTTTTCAAATAATTTAAAACAACACTTGGGTCCCACGTATCTGTAATATCTAGGCATGCTAGGACGCAGGCTATATATGCCCCTAAAAAATCTTTTGATGTTTTGCGTAGAAAAATTCCTTATTCCAATTCAAGGTGAATGCGTCAACTGCCCAACACTCCGGATCTCTCAACCATGCAACAAACTTGACACATTTAAAATTATTCCTACTAGCAAAAAGGTCAATCTCTGGTTCTCCAAAATGTGCTTTAATACTCTGGAAGGCAGAGGTACACAATTCCCATTCGGTCTCAATTTTTATTGACCGAGACTCTAGATCTGCTTCTATGTTATCACTGGATTTTATATAAGTGGCGAAAAGAAACAAATCCCTTTTCTCGCACCACTGCCAAATTTGCCGAGATAGAGCATTCAGATTGGGGTGTTGGATACTACCCATACGATTGATGTACGCTACTGCTGTAGTGTTGTCAATACGGCAAAGGATATTACAACTAGACAGATCTGTAGCAAAGCATTTTAACCCAAAAAAGACAGCTAGTAATTCTAAATAATTTATATGAAATGCTCAGTCTGAGACCACAGTCCGTGGGATCTGACATTGTTACAAAATATACCCCAACCGGTTCTAGAGGCGTCAGAAAAAATCTCTATATTGTAACTGTTACTTCCAAAGGAATTTTTTGCGAAAGGAACGATTCGTTCCCACTATAGAAAATCCTCGGATAAACTTCTAGATAGGACCATTTTACTATTAAAGTTCCCTTTAGAACGCCTCAGAGCAAGAAATTTTTCTCCTTCAAAGAGTCTAGTATGTAACAGCCCCTATTTATCTGCTGGGCAAATCGAAATCAATTTTCCAATAAACCTGGCAAAGTCTCGAATTTTACATGTATGGGTATTCTGAAAACGTTTAATCAATGCAACTAACTGAACCACCTTTTGTTGAGGTAGAGAAACCGTCAAAAGTTTAGAATTATAAGAAAAACCCAAGTATTGAATTTTTGTGCTTGGTATTAGGCAACTCTTGGTGAATGGTGTTCAAAAAACAATCTTCACTTAAACGTGTCTAAATGCAAAGTAGTTTCGTTTTCAAGAAAATCTCAACCTTCTTTTACATCCTTATCAATTTAATGATATTCAGTTTAAACGGTGTACATCGGTCACGGATTTGGGTATTATATTTGATCTTAAACTTTCCTTTTCGGAACATATATTGGTGACTATTGCTTCTGCTTTAAAAATGATTGGCTTTATTATCAGAAATTGTCGTGATTTTTCCAATATTTTTGCTATCAAATCTCTATATGCTGCTGATGTGGAATCCAAACTAGAGTATGGTTCTCTTATTTGGTATCCTTACTATAACTACCATAAAACAACCCTGGAAGCAGTGCAGCGTAAGTTTCTGAAGTTTTTATCGTTTAAATTGGACCCCAAGTAGCAAAAACAGATGTCAACCTTATGTCAAAGTCATGTAAAAATTATGTTTTACCGAAGTGACAAAAAATCTCAGGTTTACATTAGTTTCACATTAATAAAACAGATGTTAA